CCTGACAATGTCACAGGAATCAGGTCGGGACATTGTCTGATGTTTCCCTTTCACACGTGTAGCCACACAGCAGGAGAAAGTGCACGCCCGACACGTTCTCACTTCTCAAAGTACACTACTTCCCAAGTAGAGACTCCATTAGCTTGCAGTGATTTGACCAATCACCTGCTCCATTCTCACAGGATTAGTCAAACCACGACAGACTTTAGACGATGGAAGTCGGAAGATCCACCGAAGATCATTTATATTTCTGTTAAGGTGTCTAAAAAAATTAAGATTTGCAGTACATGTGTTGAAATGGTTATTTAAAAAAAACAACAAAAAAAAAACCCATCTTCACCCAGAAGAATAGTAGATACTTAGAATCCTAAATGGACTAGTTGTTATATAGCACTTTTCTTCTGTACTGGAGCACTCACCATCCACACATGCACTTTTTTCTTTACCTAAGTGCTTTCACATTCTGAAAAACGCAACATAGATCAACTGGAGGTACCAGGGAGACTTTGGCATGCAGACCGGAGCTTAACATCATTCACTCATGAAGACATGAAGAGATGGAATCACACTGAGGCAGCGTGAATCCACAGAAGAACTGTGGCAAGTTTTCCAAAGGTTTAAGAACAAAATATTAACTCAATAAATCAAAACTGTTCGTTGCATAAGTTTTTAAAGCATCCTCGCTTTCCTTTTATTACCTCGTACTTCTGCTCAGGGCTGTTTAGGACATTTCCAGCGCATACGTAAGTAAAGTTCAAGTTGTAAAACTCAGTTTTTCCTCAGAAAGCCTCAGAGGACAGCGATGAAAAATATTTCCCTGAGCTGTTTTATGATAGAGGTGGAGCTCCAGCACTCACGCTTCACCTTCTGCCTGTTTCAGCCGCCAGAAATCAGAAAACACACGTTTCCCATCCGACGCCTACCCAGCCATGATGTCCTCTGAGGCTCCCTGATGCCAAAACCACACCGACGCCCTAGATATGTGACATGGTTTCACAGGGGAAACCTTATTTGAAAAATGATGGCAGGGTAGAGAGACGGGAGGATGAAGAATCCAGAGAGGGATACAGAGAGGAGGAAGCCGAATGAGTTCCTTCCTCCGCTGAGACAGATGTGATGGCTTCAGCAGATGTGTTTCACTACAAAAAGAGATTTTACGTTGACTTAAATCATCTATCATTCTAGCTTTCTCTGCAGTAACCGGGTTTCTGGATGATGTAGGGAAAAAAGGAGGTTTCCTTCATGAGTTTCAGGATTAATATCAAACCTCCTTTTAACACATTTGCAATTTAAAAACAAACAAACAAACAAACCCTACTATTTATCCATGTAGACAAACACAATTGTTTTCACAAATAAAAGCTTGTTTAATTGTTTTGATGAATACTACACCATCTTTGTAAAAACTGCAATAGTCTTGCAAGGCTCCAGAGGGAGCTGAAGAAATCTGAGCAAGCAATTTAAAGACCGTTAAAATAAATGTAGAGGCTTGGAGCTTACAGGCTACATTAGCTAATTAAATTAAATAAACTTCATAGCATCATTAGAGGCACTGCAGCCAACATCTGGATTATAAAGGTTTCATTGAGTTTGACCAACATGTAGCTCTTCAAAGCAGGAATGTTGAGTAGGTTTATCAAAAAAATCTGATATTAATCGATACTAATAAACAGATGAGATACTTATTTGCAGGAGTATTAATGCACAACGTCACACACAATTGCTACAGACAGGCAGGCACACAGCCCCTCCCCTCACTAGCAGCTGAAGCAGTTGATCTTGACGCCACAGAACAAATGTCATGAGCAATTTCGGGAGGTCCGTAAAGTATTAAAGACACATCGTAAATGCAACCGTTAGTCTGACAGCCACATTAGCCATCTGTTAAGTTAGCAGCTAGCAGCTAATAATAAAATGATAAGGAGCCTTAAAGTCGTGCCCATCTGTAATGTTTAATGTCTGTAAAGTCTACCAGCAAAAAAGGACAGCAGCATTAATAAAGTATGCTGACTCTTATTCTGAGTCTGATAACCCTAACAAAAACAAAACAAAACAAAAAAAAAACAAACGAGTACCATCTGCAAATGTTTCAGGACCAGAGACTGGGTATAAAAGATTTAGGTAGCTATAGTGACATCACCCATTGGCTTAAGACTGTGTTTTGACGCCTCAAAGTTTGGGTTTTTCTGGTGCTTTTCTGCTTTCAGAAGTTACCAGATTTGATCAAAAAGCTTCAGTCCTAATGCATCAGCTAGCACTAGCAAGTTGGGTTAGCTAGCTGAAATACTAAGATTTTACTCACAAAAACTGAATCTCAGACTTATTGCATGCTCTGTACCATTAAGTAAGCCAGAATATTAGTCTGATGAAAATTACTCTACAAGGCACCAACAGCTTGAACACAGGGTAGATATACAGCTCAGTGACACTAGGTGAGGTCTGGCATTCACAGCCTGTACCTGGACACATGACAGTCAAAGCAGCCACGTCCCTAACAAAGGAATGATTCCCAGTCTCTTCTTCATATAGCTTAATAACTTAGCACAACACAAAGGTATCAATATTCTACTGGAAGTGGAAAATGTTGGACAAGCGCATCCTTACATCATCCATGTCACTGGACTGTGGGAAGAAGATGGAGTGTTTGAAACCAAGAGGTTATTAAAATGACAATTCTAAATCAGGCGAGCCCATTTTCCATCCATATGTGACATAAACGAGCGCGCACGCCACACCACACACACACACACACACACACACACACACACACACACACACACACACACACACGCAGCTCTAATAACCTCACACCTGTAGAATAGCAGGCCCTCACACCCCCATCCAGCAGCCTTTGAAGTGTGTGTGAAAGGAGAGGAAGCAGAAGAAGAGAGGGGGAGGTGGCAGACTGTGTGTGTGTGTGTGTGTGTGTGTGTGTGTGTGTGTGTGTGATTAGTTTGGTCAAATTGTTGTGTCGCTGTGTGTGGAGAGGCGGGGGCTGAGTGAGGGGGGGGGGGATATGCCAGGAAGGAAACTGTTTCCAGCAGAGTATACAGTGTGAATAGCTTGTCACTGTAGAGAAAAACACTTCCACAAAGCCAAAGAGGAGAACCAGCAGATAACACACACACACAACACACACACAAGGAGAGTGAGCGTATCAAAGGCATGTAGGACTCATCTATCAACATAGGAAAATTAAAACCTGCAGAGTGGACACACATGCAACCAGAGAAACTTTTATTTCACTTAAAAAAAACATGGAAACAAAAAACAGTTTCTTAACACTTCATAATAGAGTTATTATTTTATGGAAGATAAACTAACTTCAATTTCTCCATTGTGAGAGGTTGCTTATCTTTTTTTGTCATATATGACAGTAACCAGAGTATATGATCAGTGTAAATAATAGTCAACACTAAAAAACCTGAAGACGTCACATTTGGCACTCTTGGCAACTTTAATGAGCCAAATTTAAAATAAATGACTGAATAATTGAGATGGGTTTACAGATTAACTGGCAATGATTGAAACTCATCAGTTAATCTTAGCTTAGTCTGTACTCCCTGACCTGTTGGTGTGATTCAGAGAAAGAAAATAAAAATCAATATTTGAAAGAAATAACTATTGACAACTCTCCCCTGCCTTTATCAATTTTTCTATATTTAGTTGTTTAATTATTTAATTGTGCAGCCTAAGCACATGATACAATTTTACTTGGCCAAAAACAACAAACGTTCAATGTTGAATTATCAACTGCAGGAGCTTAAGTCTAATGGCCAAAAAATCTACCTTTTTCAGTAATAAAGAAAACCCAACACAAACATGAGGTCCTTGGGACCTTTGAAATAAACTAACATTTATGATGTTTAAATTCATTACAGAGAGGAGGAGAAAACAAGCCTGAGGATAGAAACTATAGAAATTCCCACAAATGAAAAATCTCTGAGACTTGTTCTTTTCACATTGCAGTGAAATTCATGCACACTGGCCTTTACGGAATCTAGAGACTTATTCTGAACTGGCACAGACCAAACACTGGTTCATTCATGGCCAAAAGCAAGGCTGCCGTGAAGTACAAAAGCAGGACAAGCGTTTGGAGGCGGTGGGTCAGCTCATATATTCCTGTTTTCCACATCAATTGCTTTTAAAAGATTACACAAAAGGCAGGAAATCAGCTTTACGACCTACGATAATTTACAGGGCCTGCAAATATCGCCTCGACTTTGGCTGTTGGGGTTAGAGTTTTAACCAAGTGATGTGCACTTTGTAGCATTACATAAATGCCGAACAGGACAAGGGAACACCAAACACTGATGACTAATAATTAAGGATATTAAGACTTGCCACAAAGCGACAAAACTTATATCGACAATATGTTTAAAGCGTTTTGGTTAAAAGCAGAAAAATATGCGTTCAACTCGGCAAACACGACATATAAATATCATCAATAAGTTTTTTTTGTTTATAAACTTTTAAACACCCCCCTTGCTATCTCTTTGAATTACGCTACCGACCAGACTGGAGATTAGGTAAAGGATAATAGTGTCAAGCAACTAAAATCATTTTTATTTTATTATATGCCGAATTAAACATGATATCAGACTCATTCAGACATTTGTCTGAAGTTGCTTATGAGGGGCTGCAAATTTCCAATAAAAGGAGAAAAAGATCAATTAATTCTTGTTCCAACGGAGTTTGGCTCGCAGCCTTACGCAAAAGACCTGCAGCTAGAACCCCGCAGACAGACAGGTAAAGGTAACGCACCCTGAGATTAAAAACACAGCAAATTAAATAAAAAGCGAGCATAACTCTAACTTCACACGTGAATCTGTTAAACTGGCGGCTTATTCGTCAAGAACCTGACTGCATATACTGCAGAAGTGGCATAAAAACACGACCGTCTCCGAAAACGGAACTTTTTGGACACTTGAGACGTCGCAGCGACAGCTGTAACGAAAAGTCGCTGAACACCAGGGATAATGTTTAATTCTGTGCTTTACCTTAAACCCGCATCGATCCTGATTCGCTCTTCTGGTGCCCGATGTCGTAGATCCACATGGGAAATATAAAAGCAGGTATAAACCGCAGAGAGAGATGAAGAAACTCCGAGGGGCCGCCATTCCTCCCTCAAGTCTGAACAACTCTGAGAGCGAGGAGGAGAGGACGGAGGAGGTGAGCGCGCGTGCATGCGTGTACTGCGCACGCATATCTTTGTGGGGGACCTACAGGGACAGTTTGGCCAGTACTCACCTTCTTGAAGTGATATTCAAAGGGATCCCCCCCCTCTGTGTTTTTAGGTTCCACCCTTGGATTAGGACGAAAAGGCTGGGAAATGTTGTTGCAGTACTGATCTGTGTTTGTGTGATTAGTACTTTGGGGATTGAGGACATCTTAGCCAGTGCTCATTTTGAGACATACATTCACAGGCCAGTGCAAGACTGCAAACTTGGTTTTAGGGTTCAGATTTAAGTTAAAAGACTGGAAAATAAACAGGTATTCATAACTTACAACTAGTCTTATGTGGTTGTGAGCTTTGTACTTTTGGGGGTTAAGCTCTTTGGCCAGTTTTCACTTTCAGGCCAATTTTTAGATGGTTGTTGAGGGGTTCAGATTACAATCAGATTTAGATCGGGTAAAAGGCTGGGAAATCCATTAATAATTAAAAAGACAAATTTGCATTGTGTGAATTGTAATTTGTGGGGTGAGGACATCGTGGCTGGTGCTCAAGATGTCCTACCATGTGAATTGTATTTCTGCGTCAGATCTAGGTCATAGCTTACACCAGTTTAACTCTGCGTCATAACCTTCTATGTAACCTGGCATGCATGCCCTGAGGAATGTAACTACACGTTGGAGCGATGCATGACTTGAATAGGGTGGAAGGTTGTGGTATTTGCTTACTTTGTCTTGGTTCTTTCAGAAATTCACATGTGTGTCTGGAGTGGCTATCAATCAAAAAACAAAGTAAACGCAATCAAAAAATGACAACCCATCCATGAGATGGGATTGGGATGAGATGATACCAGCCATATCACAGATGAGTTTTCAGACCACACCTATACTCAAAGTTCAGTTTGATCTCACCTGCACCGTTTTTGACTGTATGACCACAGAAAAACACCTGCCAAAGCACTCAAAGCAACCTTTGTGGTAGTTCTTGCTTCAGTTGGTGTCTGCATGAAGTCATTTTGGCATCCTGACACTCACACACACAGACACAAAGACTCAAACAATGCCCTCTGCAGGTAAGAACATTATCTGTTTACACACTGGATAAAGATATGATTTATAGGAGGAGACTCTCATATAAATCCCACCTGCACACTACATATACTTCCTTTAACAGCTGTTTGCTTCATTTAACAGCTGGTTGAACCACACCCATCTTCAAAATGAGCCTTTATTTGCACACCTGTTAAGCTTCGTGACTGAATCTTGCATAGTTGTGGCATATAAACCCCTGTCAAAAACCTCAGAGCCACCAGTGTGGTTGTTCCTGCTTTAGTAAGGGGTCTCCAGAACCACACTTGCCATGATGCACACATAATGAAAGCAACTCCCCCCTTCATCAGATTTTACATCCTCAATTCTTTTCCCTTTTCTTTTCTGCTTGTGCCTTAGTCCCTCCCACCAAATATGCAGTTCTCATTTACCTCATTTGTCCATCTTTGTGTTCTGTGTCCACCATGTTTCTGCCTGCAACCCTGACATCAATCTTGTTACAACATATTGAAGGATATCTCGAATTCTGAAATGCATGTCGAAGACAGACTCAGGTATATCTGAGGATGCACAGCTGTATCCTTTGTGGAAGTGTAATTGACTTCAGTGTACAAAAGAGGTGTGGCATGCAGCTGGAAAATACAACCCAAGGAGGGTGGAGGACTCTACAAACAATTATTCCTATGTATTCATAAGCTGCTTCACTCATTGCAAATGATAAACTGTGCAATCCAAAACGGTTTATGTATGTGACAGAAAAAGGTGCATCATCTTGTCACTTTATGCTAGTTGTAAATTTCATTCAAAGTTGCCTTGTATGAAAAAGAAATGTCATGGTTTAAAGTTAGTTTTACACCGGAGATTATAAAATACGACAGTAGTTGAGCTTTAACAGAACAATGCAGTCTGAAACTGTACCAACTCATATTTAACTGATATTGCAAACAGATCTTGAGATCAATGCCACCATGTGGCTGGGGCCTTTCTGTGTGAGCTTTCCCCCCTAACATGGAGAGAACATGCTTAACTCTAACCTGTGTTTGAGTGAGTTCTGCCCGGGTACTCCAGCTTCCTCCTAAAGTCCAAAGACATTCTGACATTGACAAAGACATGGTTAACTGGTACTTCTAAATTGCCGATAGATGTGAATGGTTGTCTGGCTGAGATTATAAAATACAGCTGCAGTTGAGCTCTAACAGAACAATGCTCTGTGTTAGCCCTGCGTCAGACTGGTGACCTTGTCTCTCATCGTGTGGTAGTTGGGATAGGCTCCAGTGACCCTGATAAAGATAAGTGTAAGAAGATGTATTAAAGCAAAGATGTGTCATTAAATGCCTACTGTCTCAGCTCCTCTCTGCGTGTGTCTTGCCTCCTCTGCCTCAATCTCTGGTGAATGTGTGGAATGGAGGTAAAAAGAGGATTCAAGGATGTACAAACAGAAATAATACAGGGGGAAGGCGAGATCTTTGGTTTGGAGCGAATTAAAAGCAGTGTGAATTAAATATGAAGAGTGCCACTAATCATATTTAACTGACACTGCTTTCTGTCCATTTTATTAGTTCAGTGATGTGTGATTATTATGACAGTGTGACAACTTAAATATGTACACGTCTTTCTTCAAAACTGTGTGTGCCACACCTCTTTCATACAGTCTGGGTAAATAAAATAAGTGAACCTTAAAGATTCTGTAAAGTATAAGATAAGATAACTCTTTATTGTCATTGCACAGTCATACATAGTACAATAGTACAATTAAACTGGAAAACTGTCCTTCGTCGGCACTACATGTAACACAACACGATACGACACATCACAACACAACACAACACAAACAACACAACACAGTATAATAACTTAGTAATAAAAAAGAAGAATAAGTGTATTTGTATTGCACACTGCTATTATTGCACATTAATTATTATTGCACCTTGTTATAAATATAAATA